TTGATCTCGTGTTATACTTTCAATAAAATTATTATTATTATTTTTTTTCCTTTTAAAAAGAATTTCTCTAATTTAATATCACGCACACACACACACACGTTGGACACTCGAAATGATTTCTTCTTTTTCTCCCCTCCCCCTCCTCCCCCATCGAAATTTACTGTTAAAAAAATTTAAACCAGTGATGACCAAAAAATTAATTTAAATACGATTTTTTTAAAAAAAAAAACCCCTCAGCTATTATTATTATTATTAAAAATTCATTTTAGAATAGTTTTTTTTTTTTATTTAAATTTTATTAAAAAAATTAATTAATTAATTTATTTATTTATTTAAATAAAATGGCAATTTATTTTTTAAGTAGATATTTTTTAAAATTAAATAAATTTAGAAAATTTATTTAGATTAATTATTATTAATTTTTTTACTCGATTAAAAACAATAACAATAACAAACGTTTCTCACGATAATAATAATAATAATATTTTGTAATCGTTGTTAATAATTTAATTGAAATAATAATAATAATAATGATAAAGTTTGAAAGGAAAGCGTTAAAAAATTATTTCGAATCGTTTTGCGTTTTAAATTTTTGTTTTGTATTTTTAGGTATTTTTTTTTCGCGTGTGTACCTGAATGTGAAAAAGTGAGAAACGTTTGTTATTTATTTATTTTTTTTTTTTATATAGAAAAATAATAATAATCTAGTGAGTTTTTATTTAAAAAAAAAAAAAAAAAAATTATTATTATTATTCGAAGGGCTTTTAAGTTTTAAATAGATCCAATAGCTTAGTGCGCATGCGTCATTTTCAGAGTGGATATTTGGAGGGCCTGAAATCACAATTCGACGGATGGACAAAACGGGTCAAATCCTGGTACTGGGGACGACCTTTAGTAAGTTTCAATATAAATAAAAAAAACTAAAACTAAAAAAAAAACTAAAAAACTAAAAAACTAAAAACGCATTTTTTTTATTTTATTAATTATATATATATACGTTTTATTATTATTGTTATTTAGCTTATTTTATTTATTTTTTTTTTTTAGTTATTAGAAATTAATAATAATAATAATAAGTTATTTTATGACGCATGAATAGAACACAAATTATTAATAATTAATAAAAATAATTACGATCAAGTTAAAATCGTTGGTTTTTTTTATTTATTATTAACAAAAACTAACTTTTTTAACTTTTAATAACAAATAATAATAATAATAATATTAAATAGAATGTAATGAGAGAAAAAAAAAAAGCTTTTAACCCATCCATCCACTCGCTCGCTCGCGTTGCATACTCACACTAGTTTTATTATTATTGTTATATAAATAGGTAAGGATGATGATGATGATGATGATAATAATAATAATGATAATGCTGACTAACCCCGAAGCACTTTTTACCACTTTATGTGCATGTCGATGCCGTAAATAATTATCAAATTAATTTTTTTTTTTATTATTATTAACCGCTTGATGATAAATAATTGCTTTTAGCACTTTTTCTTTTTTTCTTTCTTTTCCCCCCTAAAAAGTAAAATTTTTTTTTTTCTATCCATTTGGGCGTTATGTCGCGAAAAAGTTCGTTAAAGGTCAAATGGTCAAATAAAATTTTACAAACTGAAAATAAATATTTTTGTACTTTACTCTCGCGTGCCGTTAAAAAAAATAATAATTTATCGTTAAAAATCATCCCTCGTTTCTTTTTTTTATGGGGGGGGGGGTTACGGAGGGAGGGAGGGAGTTTTCAAAGGTTCATTAACCGGTATATTAAATAAGGTTTTAAAATCACTGAAATATTTTTTTCTAAAGGTTATAGTAACGGGTAAAAAAGGCTGCTGCAAAAAAAAAATATATTAAAATATCGAACTTGGGTGACGTGTCACTCATTATTATTATTATTATTCTTTTTTTTTTTTTTTTTTTTGTAAATTTTATAGGGAAAGTTTTGCACAGTCCATAAACGACAAAAAAACACAAAATCACGATTCATTCGTTTTTAAAAAAAATGATAATTTCTCTTTTTATTTTGCAATCATTAAATTATAATTTTTGTCTTCCATATTGGATTTTCACACTCTTAAATATTAAAATCCGCGTTTAATAAAATCATTGAATGGGAAACACGTGTGATGATGACGTCAAAACATTCGGTGACTTTTGTTTGTTTACATTTTGTTGTCATTTAAATGATGACGTCACATATATTTACGTTTTAAATATATTTTTAACATTTAAACAAAAACGATAATCATTTTTTTCTTTTTTTTTTTAATACGAATTTCGTCACGGATCGATTTAAATTTTTTTGTGGTACTTTGTACCACCGTGACATTCGGGGGGGGGGGAAACTTCGATATTTGTTTACGCACACGCACACACACACTCACAAAATAATTATTATTAGTTTCTTTGTCTGTTGTTGCGGGTTATACGAAATTTGTGATTTACCTTTCAACACGTACAAATTAAATTAATTCAAACCGTGACAATGTCAATTAGAAAATAATAATAATAATAATAATAATATAAGGATAAAAATTTCTTTTCTTTTTTTGTTAAAAAAAAAAAATAGAAAAAATATCGTGTCAAGGCTTATTATTATGGTTAAGACAAAAAAATTTTTTTTCGAAATATATAAAAAAAAAAAAAAAATTGTCGAAATGAGTCTCCCCAATCATTTTATTATTTATCACAACCGGATGTTTTTAATTTTAATGGCATTTCAAAAAATTCGTTTTTTTTTGGAAATATTAAAATATGTAAATTTTTCGGATTTTTTTTTTTTTTTGAAAGGTTTGATAGCGAGATAGCGCCGAATATTTAAACGGGTATCATTTATTATATCGCTCCAGGCATACACACACACACACACACGCACACACATTTTTCATTCGAAAATTATATACGTACATATATTATTTTCCTATGGATAATAATAATAATAATAATTTTTTTCCATTCATCTCGTACGTTTTTTTTTTTTTTTTGCGAAATTTTATTATTATTTTTTCTTCTTCTTTTTCTTCTTCTCCTCCTCGAAAAAGGTTTTTTTTTATTTAATTTTTTTAAAATACTTACGAGCACGTTTGATCCTTAAAAATATTTTTTTTTATTTAATTTGTTTATGTGTTAAACAACAACAAAAAAATTTTTTTATTTTTATAAAATTATCAGGAACTCACGCACAAACTCAGCAGAAGTTTCGACATGAAAGAAGATCAAAGAAATTTAGATACAAATGGTGGAAATGTAAGAAGACATAGATCCATGCAAAGATTATCAAGATCTAATGCTGGTGAAACTCAAGACGACGAAGATTTATTAACGGTAAAAAAAAATTCGATTTAAAAAAAAATTACGTAATAAAATAATAATAATAATTAAATTGTTTATATTGTTTATAGGGATCCATGGTGGTGCAAGATTCAGAAGGTAATCTACGTATAACAGTTAGTAAAACTAAACCAATTTTAGGGATAGCCATTGAAGGTGGTGCCAACACGAGGCATCCTCTACCAAGAATAATAAATATTCACGTAAGGTTTTATTTAATGATAATAATAATAATAATAATATTACGGTCATTATCCTTAACCTTTTGTTGTTGTTGTTAACGATTAGGAAAATGGTGCTGCTTACGAAGCAGGAGGCCTTGAAGTGGGACAATTGATTTTAGAAGTTGATGGACGTAAAGTTGAAGGTATAAATAATAATTTATTTATTTATTTTTTTTTTATTTTTTATTCTCCGACCTTATGTTTAATAAAAAATAATAATTTCACTATCCAAATAAATAAAACAGATTTTTTTAAAAAATTAATTAATTAAATTTGTTTTTTTTTTTTTTTTTTTTTATTGGTAAAAGTTAAGAAAATTAATTTTTATACAAGGATAAACAAGAATTTTTCACTTAGCAGATGACATCAATAACTAAAAAAAAAATGTAAATTAAAAAAAAAAAAAACGCAAAACAATTTTTTTTTTTCCAAGTGTTGTAAATCAGGTTTTTTTCTCTTCTTCTTCTTTCTATATAATTCTGAATTTATTATCATCATTATCGAAAACACGTGTGTATCCGTGGATATATGTTTTTATTTAAGGTATGCATCATCAGGAAATAGCACGTCTTATAGCAGAATCATTTGCAAGAAAAGAAAGACAAGAAATCGAGTTCCTAGTCGTCGAAGCCAAGAAATCTAATTTAGAACCTAAACCTACAGCTCTGATATTTTTGGAAGCGTAAATTAATTAAATAAATAAATAAATTATTATTATTATTATTATTATTATTATTAATTTTTTTTATTAAGGTACATAAAAAAAGGGGAAAAAATTTATTATTATAAGAAAAAAAATAATAAAAAAAAAAAAACAAAAAAAAAACCACCAAAAAG